CTTTGGGGAGATCATTTTGATAGTTGAGTAGAGGACAGATTGGATGGGAGAGAGTTGAAGGAAGGAAGACTAACCAGCAGACTATTGCAATAGTCCAGGAATGAGGTGATAAAAGCCTGTGCTTAGGGTGGTGGTGGTGTCTGATGAGAGAAGGGGGCACATATGAGAGCTGCTGGCCTTAGCAACAGATTGGATATGTTGGGGTGGGAGAAAGTAAGGAGCAAAGGACGATATCTAAGCTGTGAGCTTGGGTGACCAAGAATGGTGATACCCTCAGCAGTAACAAAGAAGTTAGAAAGAAGGGAGGGTTTGGGGAGAAGGAAAATGGGTTCCATTTTGAACTTATTGAGTTCAAGCTGTCTACAGGATATGTAGTTTGAAATGCCCAGTGAGATTTGAAAGTGGAGGCCAAGCAGAAAAGTTAGGGCTAGATGAGTAGATTTGAATCCATGGGAAGTGCTGAGATCCCCAAGTAAAATACTAGAGTAGGAGAAGAGAAGAGAGCCCAGGATAGAGCCCTGTGGGTCTCCCACACTTGGTGGGCATTCCAGGGTGAAGACTGAGCCAGGGAGACTGAGAAGGGGAATCACATGGGGAGGAGGAGAACCAGGAGAGAGGAGAGTCCTAAAAACCTCAAGAGTAGAGAGAGTCGGGGGCGGGGGGAGCGGGGATGAACCTGTCAGAGTCTTCAGAGAGGTCAAGAAAGATTAGGGTTGAGAAAAAGCCATTAGAATGGACAATTAAGAGATCGATGGTAAAGTCAGAGAGATGGGTTTCAGTTGAATACCAAGGCTAAAAGCCAGACTGCAGAGAGTTAAGAAGAAAGTGAGAGGACATGAATTGAAAGTGCCTATTGTAGACAGCCTTGTGAAGGAGTTTAGGCACAAAGGGGAGGAGAGATGCGGGATGATAGCAGCAATGGATGGTGGAGACATGAACATGTTTTTTGGCAGTAGAAAAACAGCCAATAGACAGAGAGAGCCTGAAGATAGAGGAGAGCTTGCAGGATAGATCGTTTCTATCTGAACCCCACGGAAGAAGAATGAGATAATAATCATAACGTCTGGCATTTTAGAGTACTGTCAAGTTTGAAAAGGACTTTACAAGTATGTCACTGGATCCCCACAACCTTGGGAGGAAGGTGCTTTTATCACCCCCATTTTACAGGTGAGGAAACTGAGCAAAGATTAAATGACATGCCCAAGGTCATATAGCTAGTGTCTGCTGCTGGATTTGAATTCAGGTCTTCCTGACTCCAGGTTTAACGTTTAAGCCTGACGTATTATGCTTTACAATTTACAAAGCACTCATCGCACATTATCTCATTGAAGCCTCACAGCTACCCTGTGAGCTAGGCATTACAGATATTAAATATGGTGACAGAATGTGAGATTGTATTGGCATAGGGTGAGGAAACTCACTCTACTAAAGTGTCTGCTACTCAGTCTTAGTTGCCCAAAACTCTTTAAGGTTAAGTGACTTGTTCAGGGTCATGCAGTCATCATATGTTAGAAGCAGGACTCGAACCTAGGTCTTGTAAGCTTTGAAGCCAGTCAGATTGCCCTTCTGCAAGCATCCACATTTTAGAGGTGCAAAAGATGAGTCTTGGAGATGCTACATAATTTGTCTTTGGTCATGAAGCTATAAGACAGACTTCCCAGTTGGGATAAGCTTTTCTTTCAAAATTTCCTTCTGACTTGTTCATTGGTTCTCCTCAAGTGAAAAGCAGGCCTCCTTTCTAGGTTTAGAATTTCACTGGGTGGGAGTCAAGGGTGGTGGGGGTGTCAGTGGGCTTTTTTCTGCCCTAGTCCTCCCCCTCTTCTCCCCACACTTCTGTCTGCATGTCAATGGTTTCTTGTTTTGTTTTGTTTTTAACTATTTTCCTCTTTCCTCTACCCTCATGAAACCTCTATCAGTCTGTGCCCCCTCCCCAGCCCTCTTCCGAATACTATTTTTGCCCCTTTCTTACCCACTGTTGGGGATGATTGGTCAAGTGATGCCAGCCCAGCTGTGTCTGAGAAGCTCCTATTGCTGCTGCCCTGCCTTCACCCCTCATATGTGCTCAGCTTTCCCTGGCATCTTGTTAGTAGGGGTGCCAGTCTCCCCTCTGCTTGGCCCGTCTGGCCCCTATTTAAAGGAGCAAGATTTTGGCAGAGAGAAAGATGCTCGGACTCACTCCGATTTATTTTCTAGCTCATCCACTAGGACCCTTGTCATGTGCTTGTGGGAGGGTAAGGGTATAGAGAGGCAGAGGGCAAGCATGGTCACTAGGACAATGGGGGAGTACCCAAGGGATGGAGGAGAGCAGGTGGTCCTTTGTCTGGAGATGGAATGAGGGCAGATGGGCTCTCTCCCAGAGCTCACCCTCCCCAGCCCCACCCCCAGCCAGAGGCCTGGTCTCCCAAAGGATGGGGGGATGATACCAAATTCCTGCAGGACCTACTGGGGACATATTGGTGGTGATCAGCTACAGCAAATGTTTGTCCATCCAGCACTTTCTCTAATAGACAAAGGATAGATTTGGGGGAGTGGGGGAGGGGTCAGGGAAGAGAGAAGAAGGATATTGATGGGGGAGTTCTTTGGTAAGAAAGTGTAGCCTCCTAGGGCTATTGTAAGATCTTAGATCTAGAGCTGAAAGGGATCTTAGAGGCCATCTGATCCAAAATCCTCATTGTACAGATGGGGAAACTGAGACCCAGAGAGGTGAAGATTTACTTAAGGGACGTGGGCAGTAAGTGGCAGGGGAAGGATTTGAACCCAGTTCCTCTGATTCCAAATCTAGGGCTCTTTACACTTTACCTTGCTGCCTCTCTGCCTGGGGAGAGGGCAGGATAGAGCTCATCTACTCTAACCTGTACTAGGCAGGAATCCCCTCAACAGTGTCCCTGATGAGCCCTCATCCAGTCACCTCTTAAAGACCTCCAGTGATGGGGACCTCACTATCTCCCAAGGTAGTCTATTCCTGTTTTCAGCAGCTTTTCTAATTAGGAAGTTTCTTCCAGCCAGCTGCCTCTCTGCAGATTTCGGAATCCTGCCTGGATTCCTGACTCTCCCCCTCCGTGGGCGAGAGAAGCGACTGCCTTGTCATCACATTAAAGAAAGCACCCACCTGCCAGGGTAGAGTGCCAGGCAGGCTGTGGAGCTCGCTGGATCAGCTCTCAGGGGACTTATCACCCCGTTCCTGCCCATGGCTTGGCTTGCTAATGATGCTCAGTTGGGAGATTACCAGCTCATCTAGGCCAGGTGGGACTCGCTTGTGTCCTGGAGCTGGCAGCTCCCCAGCCTTCCTGGGCTAGGTCCCTGTGAGCCCAGAGACAGATCAGAGGAGTCCTTTCGTTTGCAGGACTGCAGGACGGTGTAGAGCTAGGTGTGTGTGCTGTCGCCTGGGGCGACATGTGCCATGACCTCTTGTTAAAGACCAAGGTACATATTCAGCATATGGGACCAGTGCAGACACTCTGGGGGGGGCGGGGATCACCTCTGTTACAGCATTCATAGAAGCTGTGGATTGAGAAGACAGGACGGGAGACCCTGTGCATGCTGGGAGGGCTCAGTGGTCAGTGCACTGGATTTGGGGTCCAGTCCCAGCTCTACCCCTTATCAGCTTGATGGCCCCTTTCTGAGCCTTAATTTCTTTATGAAGGGAGGGGTTGGACTAGCTAGGGATGGGGAACCTGTGGCCTCGAGGCCACATGAGGCCTTCCGGCCTCAAGTGTGGCCCTTTGATGGAATCCAAACTTCACAGAACAAATCCACTTGGATTCAAAGGGCCGCACTTGAGGACCTAGAAGGCCACATGTAGCCTCAAAGCTACAGGTTCCCAACTCTTGGACTAGGCAATCTTATATAGTCCCGTCTACCTCAGAAGTTCAATGGCCTAGTATCGTATGACTTGGGACAAAGCAGTAGAAGCTAAATGGGCCAAAGAAATGGTCCTGAGGTTCTTTGGCCAAAGGCAGAGGGCTTAAGGCCTGATGGAAAACAAATGGAGAATTAATAAATTATGATAATAACATTTATATAGAGCTTTAAGGTCTGCAAAGTGCTTTACATTTTTGAGCCTCGCAACAACCCTAAGAGGTAGGGGCTGTAATTATCCCCATTTTACAAATGGGGGAACTGAGTCTGCTAATGCCTTTCCCCTCTCAAAATGCTTTCCATATGTGTGTGTGTGTGCGTGTGCGTGTGCGAGAGTGTGTATACATATACATATGTACATCTTGTATCTATTCTACCAGTGTTCCCCTCCTCCCCATTAGAAGGTAAGCTCCTTGAGGGCAGGGATTGAATTTTTGCCTTTCTTTGTATCCCCAAACACTTGGCATGGCTCCTGGCAAACAGAAAGCACTTAATAAATGCCTTTTGAATGCTACCTAGATAGAAAGATGATGGGCTCAGAGTGCTAATAAAAATGTTTACGTCCATATGTGCACACATGTGTATACACATGTATATATGTATATTTATACATGTGCACATATATGTGTATCTATCTGTGTACATACACCTGCATATATATGTGCATGCACACCCACACACATGTGTATGTTTATATGAATCACGTAGCGAATGTGGGAATTTGTTTTGCTTGATTTTATGCTTGTAACAGGTTATGTTTTTCTTACTTTTCAATGAGAGGGATGAGGGTGGAAGTGAGAGGGAGAGAATTCAGACCTGAAAATAAAATAAAATTGAATGTAAGAAAAAAGAGAGAGAACTTTTTTTAAAATTTTTTTAAATAAATACATGAGTTCTTGTTGGCTTGACTTGAACCTGAGAGAGGTGAAAAGATTTTCCAGGGGTCATGCAACTCAGAAGGGTGGGAGATAGAATTCTAACTGGGGTCTTCCTGACTCCCAACGCTGTGCAGTAGCCACTAGGCTAGGTAGGTGCCCCAGATGAGACCCAAGGGATGGTGGAGAAGGAACCAGGCTTGGTTTAGATCCAAAGGGGATCTGTGATCTCCTTCTGATTCCCCCACTGTCTACTTCCTTCTGCAGTTTGACCCTGGGAACACCGGCTACATCAGCACAGGCAAATTCCGGAGCCTCTTAGAAAGCCATGGTTCCGAGCTAGACCCGCATAAGAGAGAGGTGCTCTTGGCCCTCGCCGACAGCCATTCGGATGGACACATCTGCTATCAGGATTTTGTCAACCTGGTGAGCAAACCAGCCAAGGTACTCTCCCTCTGGGTCCCTCAATCTTTTCAGCTCACTGGTGAAAATCTCGTTGGAGCTCATATCCTGACTGCTCCATGGTGATGCTTTAGTGGGGGATGGAAAGGGTTAAGGCATCATCGGTGTCCACTTGACAGAGGGTATCTCAGTGCTCTCCCTTTATCTTGGGGCTATGTCTAGTCTGATTCGGGAAGGGAGGACTACCTACCTGTGGAAGGCGGTTATTGTCATGGGTGGGGAGGTGGAGGTGACAGCAGTCAAGCTGATCTAAGGGGAGGAGAGATCAGGCAGGCAGAATTCCACCTGGGACATACATGATGGAGAAGATCGCAGATGAGGCAGACAGTTGGGTCAAACTCCAATAGGAAGGGCTGCCATTAAACCTTACTAAAGATCCCTTCGGGTTGCATATTGATTTAGCAAACAACATGGTAATATTATCTATGTTTTATTGCTTTTTAATTTATTTCATTAAATGTTTCCCAATTACATTTTAATCTGGTTCAGGCAGCATTGGGGGTGTTATGGGGACAGGGTTTGTCACCTATGCTCTAGAGAAATGAGTGCTAGGCTGGTGCAGGCAGGCAGGAGGAAGCCAGCCTTCTCATCTCAGTGAGGCCATCCATCGAGTGTGGGAGGGCCACTTGAAGTCTTCTCTCTGGGTTTCAGTTTCCTTGTCTGTAAAATGGGCATGATGATTCCAGCTCCTTCCATGTTGCCCTTGGAAGAAGCAAGAAAGAGGGTCCCTGAGGGCAGTTAAAGGGTATATCCTGTAGATTGAACCAAGAGAATCACTGCAATCTATATGCTTTTATTCCAAAATTTGTTGAAAGGATACACACACACACACACACACATATATGTATGTATATGTATATATATGTATATATACATATGTATATACATATATATGTGCAAAAGTAAATCTCATCCCATTTGTAAGGGGAAAAGAGAACAGAACAAGGGTTTTATTAAGTGTCTACCATGTGCCAGACCTTGTGCTATGCCCTTTACAAATAACTTCTCCTTTGATCCTCACAATAATTCTGGGAGATAGGTGCCATGATCACCCCCATTTTGCAGATGAGGAAATAGAGATGGACAGAGGGTAAGTGACTTGCCCAGAGTCACACAGCTAGTAAGAGTCTGAGGCTGGAGCACTCTATCACCTAGCTGCCTTTGAGAAGTAATTGTGTCATAGTGAATAGATAACTGGTCTTAAAGCCAGAAAGACGTGGGTTCAAGTTTCACCTCTGACAGATCCTGACTGTGTGATCCTGGGCAAATTACATAACCTCTGAAGTCCCCAGGCCACTCCCTGAGATTACCAGGTCCATCCCTATCTCAGATTTAAGTATCAGCACTGTGTGGTACAAAGTGTCCTGTTTGAGTCAGAGAGAGGGAGGGAGAGAGAGAGAAAGAGGGAGGGAGAGAGAGCCAGAGAGAGAGGGAGAGAGAGGGAGAGAGAGAAGGAGATAGAGGGAGAGAGAGTTTATTTGTAGACATTGGGGGGAGTAGAGAGAGAAAAAATGCATCTGCAGACATTGAAGAAGAGGAGAAAGTGTGTGTGTGTGTGTGTGTGTGTGTGTGTGTGTGTGTGTGCATGCGCACACATGTATATGTCTTTCTGTATGTCTGTAATATTTGGGGAGAGGAGAGAGAGAAAATATGTGAATCTTTCTTTATGTCTGCAGTTTTAGGGGAAAGGAAAGAGAAAGTATATATGAGGAGAGAAGAAAGTCTATGTATGATATTCAGGGAGAGGAGAGAAAAGGGGTGTCTGTGTGTGTATGTTTCTGTCTGTTTACAGATATTAAGAGAGAGAGAGAGAGAGAGAGAGAGAGAGAGAGAGAGAGAGAGAGAGAGAGAAGATAGAGGGTGGATATTAGAGAGATAGAGGTATGGAGTTAAAAAGGATGAGGAAATGTGGTCCCCATCTCAAGAGTTGAACAAAAGAAGTACATACACTTGAAACCACTGAATAAGACATTTCAAAGCAATCTGTGAATTGGAGCAAATGAATGAAGTAAAAATGAAATGCTAAAAGGCCCAGGAATAGAAGGGCCACAGAGATTCCAGAAGGGTCATTCAGGGAAGGTTTCCTGGGCCAGGATGGGGGGAGGGGAGAGGTCTTGGAGCACACTCTTCTTACACATCTTTGTTGGCAATATGCCTCAGACTGCTTCTGCCTGCTGGGCGCTGTCTCCTTTGCCCACTAGGCCTCCTGCAATTTTATTTCTTTGGAGATCGTGATGTGATGTGATTTGCAGCCAAGAAGCATTGCTGGGAAAATGTTGTAATGGAAAAAAAGAAGGGCCTTTTAGGGCAGAAGCAGCCTGGGATCCCTGAAAACCTTGCCTGCTTTTTTTGATGTCACCCAACTCTCTTATTTAATCCTGAGCCAAAGTCATCATCTTCCTTACACATGCTAGAATAATAATAACAATAGTTCACTTTCCTGTAGCTCTTTACAAAGCACTTAATGTACCCATTCACCATTGTCTTGCACTTGCTCAAGCTTACACCTGCTCTGGACTTCTCCCCTCCAGCATAATTGCTTGCAAGTGTCTGAGCCTAGGCTTCCATAGGCAAATTGGACTATTTGAAGCAGAGAACAGTCTGATAATCCCCAGACAGCTGCTCTGGTCATAGCTGAAGAGCTGTGTCTACCAGACTTGAGGATTATAAGGGCCAAAAGAAGTAGCCACAAAGGACCATGGGAAAGACACCAAGATATAACAGCCATTAAAAAAAAGAGATAAACATTCTCCTCTTTGCTAACCCTTCACCTCTCTTTGGCTGGAAACCAGGTTTGAAAAGAGGTTGGGTTAGTCAATAAACACTTATTAGTCACCTATTATATGCAGGCACTGTGCTAAGTGTTAGGGCTGCAAAGATGGCAAAAGATAGTCCCTGCCCTTGAGGACCTCACAGTCTAATGGAGAGACAACAGGCAAACGACAAATAGGTGTACAAACAAGCTGTATTCAGGATAAATCGGAGATAATTATCAGAGGAAAGGCACTATAATTAAGAGGGAATGTAGATTTTGAGTAAGAAGAGGGAGAAAGTATGTATGTGTGTTTCTGTACGTCTGTAATACTTGGGGAGAGGAAAGAGAGGAAATATGTGAATGTCTTTCTGCATGTCTGCAGCTTTGGTGGGAGAGGAAAGAGGAAAAAAGTATGTGAAGAGAGAAGAGAGTCTGTCTGTGATAGGCAATATCTGCCTATCAGTTGAAGGTGGGATTTTAGTTGGAATTTGGAGGAAGCTAGGAGGCAGAGATGAAAGGGGAGAGCATTCCAGGCACAGGAAAGAGTCAGGACAAAGGCCCAGAGTCTGGGAATAGATTGGCTTTAGGACCGTGTTGATCCATTAGGGGAGGAAAGAGTCGGCAGGCTGGCTTGTGCAGAGCCATGCTGAGGATGTGGTTAGTATGGTCATAGGCAGGGGTTAAGTACAGCCTGAAGAGATGAAGCTGAGTCTTGTCTGGCTCAATTTGAAAGTTTAATAAAATGTCTTCACTGCCTGGGGTTGGGGGTCAAGTAATGTTCTGAAAATGAGCTCAGCTGGGAGGCAGTGGAGTCCTGTGGAAAGGATACTGGCTTTGGAATCAATGGACTTGGCTTCAGAGCCCAGCTCTGCTATTTACCTTAACCTGTGACCTTGGGTCAATTACTTAACTTCTCTGGATCTCAGTTTCTTCATCTGTGAGATAAGAGGGTTGGACTAGCATCACAGAAATAAAATAGGAAGGGACCTCGGAGGCTATATAGGATGACCCCCATTTACGGATGAGAAACTGAGGCCCAGAGAGGTCACACAGCTAGTGTCAAGATCAAGATTCAAACTCAGATCCTCTGACTCCAGAGACAGTGCTCTTTCCACTAAGCCATGCGACCTCCTTAGATGATCTCCAAGATTCCTTCTAGTTCTCAATTTGTAATCCTATATCCTGAGCTTGGAGATTGAATGCCAGGGCACCCAGGAATTGAACCTTTCCTCTGGGACAAGTACATCCAAATGCAGCTTTTAGGTCACTGATCACAGGTTTTAAGCCAGAAGTGACCTTAGAGGGCATTCAATCAGACCTCCTCATTCTAGTGATGAAGGTACTAAGGTTAAGTGACTTGCCCAAGGTCACTCAGATTCTAAGAGACAGAGGCAAGATTTAAAGTCTTCCAACTTTAAATCAATTGTATCACACTGCCTCTCCATAGCTCCAATGTGTTTCTGTTTATCTTTGCCCAATCTTGGTCTCTTATTCTGGGAACTTCCTCACCTGAGATTCTGTCTTCTTGGGGAACAGAATAGATATCTCTTGTCCTGGGAGGCTCCAGCATCCATCTCTCCCTTGCCTTTTCCTAGTTCTCTCCCTCCTGCCTGCCTTAGTCCCTCCTATCACCTTCTCCAGATAGGTTTCTCATCTCTTGATTTACATCTCTTAAGGGAAAAATAACACCATCAGTCATGTTTCTGGGAGTTTCTGTTCAAACCCCTTAAACATTCAGGGAATATGTTTCTCTAGAGATTGGCATCTCTGAGAGTGATATGAGTGGGGAAGTCTATGAGGTCCTGTATCACATTCACTCTGCTTTCTTCCTTTTCCCATTCCCCATTTTGTGTATGCTCTTTAACTTCACAAGGAAATAGCTACATCTGCCCCACCCCCATCCCCAACTCAGACAAGATGATCTCGAGAGAAGGGAATATCCCATTTGAGATTTCATTTTTATCCTTCTCTCCACAGATGAGCAACAAACGGTCTAACAGCTTTCGCCAGGCCATCCTACAAGGTAACCGGCGCCTGTGCAGCAAGGCATTGCTGGAGGAAAAAGGACTGAGTCTCTCCCAGCGGCTGATCCGCCATGTTGCCTATGAGACCCTACCTCGTGAAATTGATCGCAAGTGGTACTATGACAGCTACACCTGCTGCCCCCCGCCTTGGTTCATGATTGCCATCACTCTCCTGGAGGCATGTGGTACTTCTTGGGGAGATGGGAGATGAGTGAGGTGGGGTGAAGTCCTAGAGCCATGCCCCACTGGGTGTGAGGTGAAGTGAGGTGAGGTGAGGGCTAGGGGAGAAGGGCAGATGAGATGCGCACAACTCTAGAGAAAAAGGCTTGTTGATGAAGAGCAAATTCCCATTTGTGATTTCAGGAAAATCCTGTTACAGCAAAAACCATTGAAGACCTTCCATGGAACATAAAGATTTTCCAGTCCTCAGTTGATGAATGGTCCTCTCACATCATTCATTTTTAGACAACGCCCAAAGAATAACCAAAGGTTTTAGACAACCCATTGGAGTTCATTGTATCGGAGTTTGGCCTGATTTTTATATTCTGAGTCAAATTATTTCAGTTGTCCTTCAGATGAGTGCCATCAGCCTAGTCTCTTTGCCTCTCTGAACCTCAGTTTCTCCCTCTGTAAAATGAAAATAATGACACTTTTCTTTTCCCTGCCTCATAGGGCTTTTCTGCCTATAAGGTGAAAGATTAAGCATAGAAACTCTTTGAATGTAGAAGCACTAGTCGATCAACAAACCCTTATTAAGCCTCTGCTATGTGGTAGGTGCGGTGCCTAGAGGATACAAAGGAAAAGAAAAAAGACAAACAATTCCTGCCTTTAAGGAGTTTACATTTTACATATTGATATAAATAATCTAGGCAACCTGGTGCAGTGTGAAAAGTGCCAGGCTTGGGGTCAGGAGGAAACTAACTTAAATCCTGCTTCCAATACTTACTAGCTGTATGACTGTGGGCAAGAGTCACTTAACCTCTGTGCCTCAGTTTCCTCACTTGTCAAATAAACATAATAATCCCTATAGAACCTGCCTCACAGGGCTGCTGTGAGCTTCAGATGAGATGTTGTACTTTGGAAACCCTAAAGTACTATATAAATATCAAGGTCAGGTTTAGGGATTTTTTTAAAGTTTTGTTTTTGTACTAGGCTTGTGATTTCATTGGTATTTTGGCAGCTAGGTGACTAAGTGGATAGGGCAGTGGACCTTAGAATCAGGCAGACCTGAGTTCAAATCCAGCCTTAGACAATTACTAGCTATGCAACACTGGGCAAATCATTCAGCCTTTCTCAGCCTCAGTTTCCTCAACTGTAAAATGGGGATAATAGCACCTACCTTTAGGGTTCTTGTAAAGCTCAAGTGAGATTTTTTTTTTGGTGAGGCAATTGAGGTTAAATGACTGCCCAGGGTCACACTGTCAAGTGTCTTGTCTGAGACTGGATTTGAACTCAGGTCCTCCTGACTCCAGGGTCAGTGCTCTATCCACTGTGCCACCTAATGAGATAATTTTTGTAAAGTGCTTAGCTCAGTGCCTGGTCCATAGTAGCATAGTAGGCACTATATAAATGCTAGCTATAGGGAACTCTTGATAAGGAAACTCCATCTGTTGCTGCAGAGGAATCCTTCTTCTGCAATCTATTACCCCAGAAAATCACTTAGGACACTGAGAAATTAAGTAGGTTAGGCTTGCTGGTCTACCAGTCAGAGGCCTCAGGGAGGAGCCATGGAGTCCTCAAGCAATAATTTTTCTAGTCAAATAACCAGGAAGTCTTGTCAGCTGCCTAAGCTTTGTGCCACTGAGCTCACAAAGCTTTTTTGAAACACTTACTATGTTCCAGGCATTGCCCTAAGCTCTGGGGAATTCAAATACAAGCAGAGAGTCCCCCATCCTTAGGGAGCACATAGTTGACATATAGCCCTTTCAAGCTTGCCAAATGCCTTCTATATGTTATCTCATTTGATTTTTCACAACTGTAGGGGGTGTGTGTGTGCATGTGCTCATGTGCACTATTGTTGACCACATTTTACAGGTGAGGAAACTGAGGCAGAGAGAGACTTTCCCAGAGTCGCTCAGCTGGTTAGAGTCTGAGGCAGGATTTGAACTCGGGTCTTTCTGACTCCAAATCCAACACTCTACATTGTACCACCTAGCTGTCTCAATAGCCAGTATATGTCAGAAACAGATATTGAACCAAGGTCTGTCTTGATGCTGAAGTCTACACTCCAACCATCACTCCATGCTGCCTCTAGAGATGTAAATTATTACTATAAATATGTATGTACACACATACATGCACATATATCTATATATAGTATGTATGATGTGACGTTTCAGTATTTAGTGCTGCACATCTGGTTTTAATATAGTTCTAATAGAGTCTCCTGTTAGTCTGTTATAAGCGTGCATCATCTGGATAGAAGTCTCCTAATTTAGGAAAGAATTTAGGAATATTTGATTTGAAGACAGTAGAGAAGAAATTGTCCCCCTTTTCCCACAGGCCCCACCCCCACTCCTTTGGATGTCCAGCCTGGCCACTGGCTGCCTCTCCCCAGATGTCCAGGACGTCTCTCCCCCATCCCATCTCCTTCACCAGGCTTAACTCTCTGTCACATGTTTCTGTGAAGTTTCTACCCAACGAACAGCAGTCTAATAACCAAGCACCAATGGTTCTTTCATTTTCGTCATGTTACAGACAGCCTGATGCATTGGCCCGAGCTCATTTGTTCTGTTGCTATGACCCCATTCCAGACAGTTTTATTTGCAGCAGCAATTTTCAACTCTGATTTGAGCCTCTCAGGGCTCCTGTGAGAGAGACACAGCAAGGTGCTGTTATGCCCCTTTTACAGATGGGGAAACTGAGGCCCAGGGAAGACAAGTGGCTTGCTTTAGGTCTCATGGGCAGGTAAGGGCAGCTCTTCCAACTCCCAGTCTGGTGCTCTTCCTACTATTCCCTTCTGTGTGTGTTATTGTTGAACTCACGCTTATAGTCCTATGTTAATCTGTTTATTAACTCCTATTTGAGGGCTAATAATGATGATGCAGAGTTCCCTTTAGAAGCCGTGCTTACTATCAGCTCATCTGCAGCCTGTGTGGCTGATTAGTACTTCAGTGGACAGAATGGTTCCCTGGAGTCCCGAGAGAAGGACTGACTTACTACTCCCACAGTGCTCAAAGCCGTAGCTTAGCTCAGTGAGCACAACAATAGTAATATAGTAGCATCCAGTTGAACCAGAGGCCATTTTGTGGCAACATCAGCTATGTAGAACACCCTGGGTCGGGGGAGTGGAAAGCTTTGGAAACAGTTACCACCAAACCTGTAAAGACCATGAACTTTATTCTTTCTATTCACTCTCAACACTGGTATAATGAGCTTGGTTATCTGGCCGCCTAGCCTACAGCAGATTAGAGGGGGAGAGGAGGAGGAGACATTTTGACAACAGCAGCAGAAACAGGGCAGCAAAAGGAGAAAATTAAAAATTAGACACAAGGATTGGAAAAATTCAGTCTGGCACCATTTGCTGTCTGGAATATCAGCAGTCTTGTACAAGACCTGTGACCCTTCCCTCTTAGGACTATCCCTGTTTGAAAAAATTCTTTTATTTATTGATATCTTTTGATTACAACAGGACAGTTAGGTGGCACCATAGTACATAGAGCACTGGGCTTGAAATCTGGAAGATTTGTCTTTCTGAGTTCAAATCTGGCCTCAGACACTTACTAGCTGTGTGACCCTGGGCAAGTCACTTAACCCTGTTTGCTTCAGTTTCCTCATCTGTAAAATCATCTGGCAAAGGAAATGACCAACCACTCTAGTATCTCTGCCAAGAAAACTCCAAGAGGGGTCACAAAAAGTCAGACAAAACTGAACAACAACAAATCTGCTTCTAAATCCCATTCATTTCCCCATGGCTATCAGTATTTCAGCATGGAACAACAATTGTTTATAATGATGGCCTTGGGGGGCAGCTAGGTGGTGCAGCAGATAGAGCACCAGCCCTGAAGTCAGGAGGACCGAAACTGAGTTCAAATCCAGCCTCAGACCAAACACTTGACACTTACTAGCTGTGTGACCCTGGGCAAGTCACTTAACCCCAATTGCCTAAAAATAATAAATAAATAGATAAAAATATAATGATGGCCTTGGGTCATGAAGAAAAAGTGATACCGTGTGTTCTATTTGCTCAATTTGGAAATTGTGGAATATATTTTATTTTATTTTATTTTTTGCAGTTTTTTTCTTTTTTTCTTTTTTTTAGGCAATGGGGTTAAGTGACTCGCCCAGAGTCACACATCTAGTAAGTGTCAAGTGTTTGGTCTGAGGCTGGATTTGAACTCAGGTACTCCTGACTTCAGGGCCAATGCTCTATCCGCTGCACCACCTAGCTGCCCCTGTGGGATATATTTTAGAAAATTTTGCATTAAACATGGCTAAAATAATCCAAGTTTCAGAATTTCAGTACATGAACTTTGATTATCAGGAAAATTATTGTCAATAATAAATAGTTTATTTTACAAAGCACCTGATGATAATAGAAGGCACTTCCCTAACAACAACTTTGTGAGGTTGGTAGTGTAAATGTTCATTTTATAGAAGGGAAAATTGAGACTGAGAGAGGTTAGGGCTTTATCCAAGATTCCATAGCTTGTAAATATCAGAGTCAGGATTTGAACCTAGATATTCTGATTCTCAGTCTAAGGTACTTTCCAGTATCCAGTTTCTTGTCCTTATGTGGAATGCCAAGTTGCCCACATGGACAGTTGAGGTCTATTACCGTAACATGAAGCCTATGAGTACCCAAATTCTACCAGCCTGGCGATAGGGGTAGGGAGTAGTAAGCAAAAAGCAATGAGTGACAATTTAACATAGGACTACTACTGCTACTGCTACTGCTACTACTACTCTATACTGGCTCTATTAGCTACTACTTGCTAACAGAGAGACAGACAGAGAGACAGAGAGAGAACAGTTAGTATATGCGAGACACTGTGCTAAGTAACTTTGACAAATATATTTGATCTTCACAACAACCCTGCAAAGTAAATGCTACTATTGTCCTCATTTTACAGTTGAGGAAACTGAGGCAAACAGAGGTTAAGTGACTTGCCCAGGGTCCCATAGCTAATAAGTGTCTGAGGCTGGATTTGAACTCAGGTCTTTCTGACTCCAGGCCCAATGTTCTATCCACTGTGTCTCGTAGCTACTACCGATGCTACTGCCACTACCACCATCACCACCACTATTATCACCATCACCACCACTACCACCACTACCTAGCATTTATATATTGCTCTAAGATTTGCAGTGTTTTACATGACATAGCCCTAACCCTAAATTGGCTTCTCCCAACAACTCTGTGAGGTAGGTTTATTGTTTTTATTATTACCCCCATTTTACAGACGCAGCTAAGTGGTACAGGGGATGGAGCACTGGACCTGGAGTTAGAAGGACCTAAGTACAAATCCAGCCTCTGACACTTGTTACCTACAAGATCCTCTCAAGTCACTTAACTTGTCAGCCTCATTTTCTCCATCTGCAAAATGGGGTTTAATGATAGCACCGACCTCTCAGGATTGTTGTGAGGATCAAATGAGATAATATTTGTAAAGTATGTTGCAAATTTTAAAGTACTGTGTAAGTGCTAGCTATCATTACTGTGTGAGTTTATGGAGAAGAAATATGAAGAAAATAAGTACAAATGAATAGAAAGTAATCAGATACAAGGGAATTTGGGAGGGAGGGCACTGCCCATTGACAGAATCAGGAAAGGCTTCATTTTATGTAGAAGGTGATGCTGGAGTTGAAGGAAGAGAAGGATTCTAAGAAGCAAAAGTGAGGAGGGAATGAATTCTAGGCATGGGGGATGTCCATAAATTGGATGGCAATGCTGGAGAGAAGAGGGTCCTAAAGCCTAGAGAGAGGCTTGCTATTGGGCTGAGTACCTCTTCTCTTATTCCCCTCACATTTGCAAATAAGGTACTAGATAAACCTTAAAGTACTATACAAATGTCAACTAATAATAATAATAATTAGCAATAACAATGTGGCATAGCATTATGCAGTTGCTGTAGGATTTTCCCAACATATGAGCCATAATGAGCGATTTTGGCACCTGGGACAAGCAGCAAGAAAATTAGCTTTTCAATGATAAGATTCATAAGAGCGTTGATTCAGAGCTAGAAGACACCTTTGATGTTATCGAGTCAATCCTTGCCATTTTACCAAGGAGAAAGCAAAAAACCAAATTCAGCTGAGTGGGAGGGAAGGATTAGTTACTATAGTGACTTGTATGTCATTGAGAGAATGCCGATGTTAAGTATCTGTCTAAATTTAGGCGCCCTGGGGCAGAGCCCTGATCACCTCACCCTAGTTACAGCCCTACTCAGCAGCTTGTTTCCTGGGTGATAGAGGTGGTTATAATTCACTGTAGGAACTCTGAGTGTGAGCAAGAGGAGGTAGGTTCCCAGGCATTTCCAGCCTTGGTAACAGAGACTCTCCATTCCTTGGCTCTTGTCCAGATCGCCTTTTTCCTCTACAACGGGGTGGCTTTGGACCAGTTTGTGTTGCAGGTCACCCACCCCCACTACCTGAAGAACGCTCTCGTTTATCACCCGCAGCTCCGAGCCCAGGCCTGGCGCTACCTGACCTACATCTTCATGCATGCAGGGTAAGTGCCCACCTCCCTGTCTTCTCTCCCTGAGTCAGGATCATTCGTAAAGTAACACGTGATATTAAGAGGCAAAGGTAGGAGAGCGCAGTAGATAGAACGGTGGATGAAAGTCAGGATTCGTTCATGCCGGACTTCTGGCACTCCCTGGCTGTGTGACCACGGACAAATCACAACCTCTCTGAGCTTCAGGCAACTCTGAGACATATTATTTGCTTGCTCAGACACTTACTTATGAAGGTGTTCCAGAGAAGAGCCTAGAATTGGATTTTGGTTCCTTATCCCTTGGTTATCCATTTTTGTGGTTGGTTATTAAATTTACAATAAACAATCCTTAAAAGTAATAGAGAGTGGGGGAGACAGCTAGGTGGTGTAGTGGATAGAGCACCGGCCATGGAGTCAGGAGGCCCTGAGTTCAAATCCAGCCTCAGACACTTACTAGGTAGCTGTGTGACCCTGGGCAAGTCACTTAACCCCCACTGCCTCAAAAAAAAAGGTAGTAGAGAGTGAAAATATACTCAGAAGGTCATAGATTTGGAGCTGGAAAGGACCTTAGAATCTTGCATTCTAACCTCTTCAGAGAGGTTCAGTGATTTGCCCAAAGTCACATTTGTTAGGGCTGTTGTCCAGTCGTTTCAGTCATGTCTGACTCTTCGTGACCCCATTTAGGGTTTTCTTGGCAAAGATGCTGGAGTGGTTTGTCATTTCCTTCTTCAGCTCATTTTACAGATGACAAAACTGAGGCAAACAGGGTTCAGTGATTTGCCCACGGTCACACGGCTCGGTGTCTGAGGTTGGATTTGAACTCGGGGCTTTGTGACTCCAGGCTGAGTGCACCACCTTTGATATAGAGGTAGCATCAAAAAATGGCAAGATTAGAGATTGAAAGTCGTCATCTAGTCCAATTCCTTCATTTTACAGATAAGGGAAACTGAGTTCCACAGAGGTTAAATGACTTGCCCAAGATCACATGGGTAGTGTCAGAGGCAGGATTTGAACCCAGGTCATCTAACCTATTATACCAGCTCAAAAATGACTAAGTTGGAAAAAAAAATGACTAAGTTGGGATGCCAGCCCAGTGATCTTAACACTGTCTCATGCTGCCTCCTATTCACATAGATAGTGTAGTAAAAAGAATGCTAGAGGGCCCAGGCCCAAATTCTTTCTGCCTCTGTGACCTTGGGCAAGTGTCTTTGCCTTGGTCCTCTTTCCTCATCTGTAGAAAGATGGGGTTGGATTAGATGGCCCCCGAGGTCATTTCTAGCTCAAGAGATCTGATCCCGTGAATTGATCAAATGTCAGTTGAATTTATGAGGGCCACAGGGTTATGGAGTGAAGGAGGGGCTGGGAGGGCTTGACTGCATGATACCACCCCCCATTTTCTTCCCCTCAATGGATCGTTTCCAGGGTCACAGCCACGGAAGGTAGGCGCGGGTCATCTCCCTGACTTGAATCAATATTTTTTTATTCCTGCCTGAAGCTTTCACAGCCTGGGTGCTCTCTTCAGGGTGAGACACAATCAGCCAGGCCCCTGCTGCATTTCCATGACAAAGGTCAACTCACTGGCCAAGTGGTCACCCGAGGGAAGGCAGGAGGCCATTCAGGGATAACTGCACCAGAGCAGGCCAGACATATTTCCCGGACTCCAGGTCACCAGGCAGAGTCCAAGAGCTCAGATCCCCAGCTCTTCCCTCCACTCACATCAAAAGGACAAACAATCTAGTTTTTTCCAACCATCTCCATTGAACTTTGGAGGGGAGGGGGAAAATGACCTGTTGACCCATTGCTCTCTGGAGCAGTCTCCCCCATGGGAAAGCAAGGAGGCACGCCTGGCGTTTGGTTCTCAGAGCTCCATTGTCCCTTCTCCTACTCTGAAAGAGACAGACTGGCCGGGCAGTGGCTGAGAAATCCATTGTAAGTTTCACTTCCTGCTGAGCTTTTAAAATGGTAATTGTCTCAGTCCCTAATTTACTCCCCTGCCAGGCTGGGGGAGGGACGGTCCTTGTGGGCTGGCGAGGCATCCAGGTGGTTGCCATAACTAAAATCAGAGGAAATGTGGGAGGAGGGCAGGTGGAGAGACTCTTAATCTCTTCTCCCCCTTTCCCTGCTTCAGCTTTTGATAATGTTGGTAGTGAGAGGTGGGGGTGGTCAGGCTCATTAATTCCCCTGGCCATTCAGCCTATCCCTGAGGCAGCTGGACACTGATAAATCAATTGGATTCTGTCATTGGAAAGAATGACCAGCTGAGAGAGGCTGACGCCAATTCGGTTTTATGGAGCTTCTCCAAAGGCTGGGGCAGAAAGAGGCCGCCTTGATACAGGAGTTACCTCTAAGAAGAGCTTTCTTCCTCTCCCACCAGATCCCTTTTCATCCACCCTCCACCCCACCTCCCCACCCCTGATGATCCGGGAGGATTCTGGTCTTACTTCTTGCTTTACTGGCCTTCTTTCCCATTGGAGCCACTCTCCAAAGATGAGATGTTACAATGATCAGGGCTCTGAGGTGGCCAGTGAGAAAGTATGTTGGAGGCAATGGACAGTTCAGATCTTGACTGCTGCTTACAACCTGTGTGACCTTGGGCAAGTCACTTACCTGTGGTGCCTCTGTGTCCTCATCTGCAAAATGGAAGAGGTTGGACTGGATGAACTGTGTGGTCCTTTTCAGCTCTAAATTTATGATCCTTTTCATATTTGCTCACTCTGGGTAGAGCAGAGGAGAGTGTACACGTTGATGCAGGACCTTGTCTGTGAGCGCCCACAGTAGATAATCCACACGTCTGAGTGACAGGGCTGCCCAAATGGATGAAACAGGTGGCAAAGTATTCTCTGTCTTGGGGCAGCTAGGTGACACAGTGGGTAGAGCACCGGCCCTGAAGTCAGGAGCACCTGAGTTCAGATCCGGCCTCAGACCAGACACTTGACACTTACTAGCTGTGTGACCCTGGGCAAGTCACTTAACCCCAATTGCCTTAAAAAAAAAAGTGTTCTTTGTCCAAAACAGTGACATGACTTATTAGAGTAAGCAATGAAGACCTGGCCCAGAGCTAAGAACTAAACCTTGGGAGGGAGGGAATAAGCATTTATTTAGCACCAACTATGTGGCAGGCGTTGTGCTAAATGCTTTTCTAAATGTTGTCTCATTTGACTCTCACAATGATCTTGGGAGGCAGGTGCCATTATTATTTCCATTTTACAGTTGAGGGAACTGAGGCAAACAGAGGTTAGTGACTTGCCCAGGGTCCCACAGCTGGTAAGTGTCTGAGGCAGGATTTGAACTTGGGTCTTCCTGACTCTGTGTCCAGCACTCTGTGCTGAGTTCTGGACACTCATTTGGAGGATATTTCTAGATGATATTTCTTGATGTCATCTATTCATTTTTAGAATCATAGATTTAGCCATGGAAGGGATCCTAAAGGCCATCTGGACCAACACCCTCACTTTAAAACTAAGGAAGTAGAAGCCCAGGGAGCTGAAGTGATTTGCCCACAGTCACACATGTAGTAAGAGTCAGGATTTGAATCCAGGTCCTTTGATTCCAAACCCAATGCTCTCTCATAGAATCATAGCATTATAGGTTTAGAGCCGGAAGGGACCCCGTAGGTCATCCAGTCCAAACCCTTCATTTTGCAGATGAGAAAACTGAGGCCTCCGAGGTTAAGTGACTTGCCTAAGGCCATTCAGGTAGTAAGGGTCAGAGGTAGGATCTGAACCCAGATCCTCTGACTTCAAATCCAGTTCTTTTCCACTATACTAAGTTAGCTCTAACTATGTGCTTGTCACTGTGTTAGGTGCTAGGGGTTGGGGGCAGGGAGAGAGGGATAGAAAGAGAAGAACAAAATCGTCCTTGCCCTTCAAGGGGCTCACCCTCTATTGTACAACAAGTGCATAGCTAAATAAATACAAGAGATATAAAATGGAATAATTTTGGTGGGAGCAGGGGCAGGGAGTGTGCAAACAGTTATCAGGGCCCAGAAAAGTCTTCATGGAGGAGATGGTGCTTGAGCTGAGCCTCCAAGGAAGCCATGGATTTGAGAAAGCCTCTCCCACCCTTCCCTTTAGCCTCTGGGAGCGGAGGGACATCCCCTGCTGGGCCTTGTCCCTCTAGTTGTCCTCTTCCACTACAGAGAAGGGGAGGACACAGACAAGGGAGAAGGCAAAAGGGGAAGGAAACCTTGCACAGCAGACCAGGTGCTTGCCTGCTGTGCCAAGCCGCCAGAAAATTCCTGAGAAGATCCAACCTCCTCCCCAGGGAAGGGATTACTCCTCTCAGTCCCCACACACCCAGGAGCATATGTTCTTGTACTAAACAAGGGGGAGGGCCACTTTTCCAAAGACTGACCATCTGATGGAGCTCTTCTCCCTCTCCACTACAGGATAGAACACCTAGGTCTCAACGTGGTCCTGCAGCTCCTGGTGGGTGTCCCATTAGAGATGGTTCATGGAGCTGCCCGCATTGGGTTTGTCTATGTGGCTGGTGTTGTGGCAGGTAGGTGGATTATTTGGTATACGTTCCATTGACCTTCAGGCAGATCCCACGCTGACAGATTCACAATGAAAGTGTTGGAGAGGGAGGAATGTAGGTGGTGATGAGAGAGGAGCAATGACTTCAAAGGCCACAGATTTAGAGCTGGAAGAGGCCTTAGCAATAATCTTGTCCAGCCTCTCATTTTACAAATGAGGAAACGGAAGTCTGAGGAGATTGCCACCTGTCCCTCCTCCATACACTGCAGCTTCCCCTCACTGTCGTCTGACCTATGGTAACCTAAGTACCTGCTACACCCTTAGCTCTCCCGGGCCTTTCCATCTTCCTTGTTAGAGAACCTTTCTTTTATGTGTTATCTTCCCCAATTAGCATGTGAGTTCCTTAGGAAGAAGGACTATCCCCCTTTCTCTCTTTCTGTCTCCGGGGATTGATACCTAGTAAGTGCTTCATAAATGCTTTCTCATTCATTCATTCATTCATTCATTCACTCATTTCAAGATCACACCAATTACAAAGCCTTGGAGGCAAGATTTGAATTACAGCACTGGAGCTATGAAAGACTTCTTTTGTAGTACAAAGCTTAGTAAATGTTTTATCTCCTTGTCTGTCTGTCTGTCTATCTATCCAGTCCAACCCCTTTATCTTACAGATTGGGAAACTGGGTCCAGTTTCAGTGTCTTGCCCAGGATCATACAGGTAGTAAGTGACAGGTGCTAGATTTGAACTCAGGTGCTCTGACTCCATAGCCCAAAGACTCTGGGCTGGAGGGGAGGGGGAAGGAGATAGCCTCCTTCTAAGGACAAAGAAAAATCAGAAATCTGCCTATGACATCCTCCTATGTTCAGTTACTCCTTTGTGGGGACTACCTGGGCTGAAGTAGAACAAGCTGAGTCCCAGTTTAAAGATCTCATTAAAATATTCAATGACTTCAATTCAACGAGTATTTATTAAGCTCCTAATAGATGCCAGGCACTGTGATAGGCACAAGGAATTCAAAGTAAAAATTAAAACAGCCTTTGCCTTCAAGGAATTTTGGGAGAAATTATATGTATTTAAATAAATAAAGGCAAACTATATACAAAATAGATAGGAAGTTGTTTAGGGCCAACAACTAAGAAATGCCTTTTGTAGGAAGAGACTGTTGGTTGAAGAAGAGAGCCAAAGTTTCCTTTTTTTTTTTTTTAAAGGCAATTGGGGTTAAGTGACTTGCCCAGGGTCACACAGCTAGTAAGTGTCAAGTGTTTGGTCTGAGGCCAGATTTGAACTCAGGTCCTCCTGACTTCAGGAGCAGTGCTCTATCCACTGCACCACCTAGCTGCCCCAAGAGCCAAGCATTCCAAGAGGTGCATTCCAAGAGGTGTGAGGAAAGAAAGAAAGCATTCCAGGCATGAGGCACAGACTGTGCAAAAATACTGAGGCTGGAGATGAAACATCATGCATAGGGAATATCCAGTAACTCAGTTTGTCTGGAGCAGAGAGTTCTCTTTCAAAGGCCTAACAGAAACTGCTCCAGAGTCAAAGCACAGAGATATCCAAGAAGAGTCCAATCAAGAGGGATACAATCCCCAGGCTGCCTCCCTCACTGCCCAGTCAGAAGCTATGAAAGGATAAGAACTGGACAAATGGACAGACTGCTGTGGGGAAATAAGCCAAGTTCTAGCTCCGTGGGCTTTGGGAGAAATCTCATCACATTGTGGATTTTATTGGTGGCATTTTTATAAGGTTTTCCAAGGGCCTGCTGTGTCAGTGAGGTCTTAATCTTTTCTCAGTAGCAATAAATTGCAATCAAAAGAGCAGAACTCCATCCAGCCTTGCAAACAAACTGCAGGCAGCGTGACCGAGGGGTGCTCAGGAAAGAAGGTGTTGATGATGTCCACCCACACAAAGCTCCTTTCTGACCTTCAGCATCCTATATCTCGCTGAGATTTCCCCAAGAGCATACTTCCTTGAGTGTTCGCCAATAAAAGGAGGACAGCGGCGCCACCTTGGACAGCGCCCACCTGAGTCACACCCCGCTTCCCCCCCCAGACCTAATTTTCTGTAATACACATACACAGAAAGGAAATCACACGCCCATTTTTCAGAACAGGGAACTGAGAGACCCAGAGGTTCCATAGCAAAGGAATAGAAGATACATTTGTCAAATCCACAGCTGAAATTAAGTTAGGTGAGACAGTGAATATTTGGGAAGATGAGTAAAATTCTAAATGACCTTGAACAGTTGGGGGACAAAAAAAATGAGATTATGAAAAAACAGGATGAAATTATCATCTTGTTGGAATGAGGGCAGGGTGGCACACTCGCCAATAGACAAATACAAGCTGAGGAAGGGTTGCCTAGGTCATTTAGGTCCCTGCCAGTGTTTCTTGGATATTTTCCTTTGCAACCAATTGGGAAAACAAAGGTGGGTTTTATTTGTTTGTTTGTTTGTTTGTTTGTTTGTTTGTTTTTGGTCTCCTAAGACTATGACCCTGGGACACAGCCTGCCTTCATTTTTCTCCAGGGGTCGCCTCTCCCACATCAATTCTACAGGCAGTAGCAATGCACACATTGCTTTTACTACCCTGCAGGGGCTGTGGGAAATCTCTGAAGCACAAACATTGTACAATATAGGTAAATTACAAGCAAAAGGTCTCATATTACTCCATTACCTTGACACAAGTTTAAAATGCTACTCTGTTGCTTCCAGATCTTCCAGTTTTGCTCCCTCTTCCCATCAGCAAGCCCTTCCTTTGTCCCCAAACCTTAGGGTCATTAACTTTTCTTGCTAGTTGACCTCATTTCTTCCTTCCCGTCCAAAATTGACCTATATCCTCTAGCCCAGTGTTGTTGGTCCATAGAGAAAGAGTGATTTTGAGATCTGTTAGACAACTAGGTGCTGAACTCAGAGTTAGGAAGACCTAGGTTCAAATCCTACCTCAGATACTTGCTTGCTGTGTGACTCTGGGCAAATCAGATGACCTCTCTGGGTATAGGTTTCTTCTTTCATCAAATGATGGGGTAAGATTCAGTGACTTCTAAGTTTCCTTCTAGTTCTAAGTCTATGAAGATAGGATTCTATGCCTTTTTCATAATCATACAATAGAGCTGGAGGCAGGAAACCCATTTTCCTGACTTTTGTTGAAATCCAGTACTGTTAAGTACCATGGTGAAGGTAGGGCTAAGAATTACAGTTATCCCAGGAAATGCAGAAATAAGTTTGTGTGGCCCTGGGCAGTGGACCTCTTAGTTGAGGGGATTGGAAACACCCCTGCCTCCTATTAGTAAACGCTGCCTAGAAAGCCCTTGTTTGTCTAAAACTCTGCATCCCCCTCTGTTGAGAAGATACAGCTTGTGGTTGATTGGGTGGAGGTAGAAGGGAAAGGATGAAGGAACAGAGAGTTTTCCATCTACTCTCTGTAGAGGGAAACTTGGACCATGGAAGGAGCCCATGCCCGGAAGGCTGGGACTTCCTCTGGCCATGCTGTACCAAAATAACCAAGCATCTCATCCTTTCCCATGCTCCAGTTAAGCTTACTGATATGTCCCTAAACTGCCGAGATCTCCTCCCCACCCCAATACAATCCATTGTCATGCACATCATGGCACTGCTTTATTTCATGCCTTGGTTTTATTTTATTTATTTTCCTTAATTAATAGCTGACCCTGCTTTGTAAAATTAACCAACAATAGATCAATACCTAATTAAAACTGGAGGAAAGCTGATGGAACTGGACTTAGGGAGTTCTAATTTGTTGGTCATTTTTTTCTTCTTCGTGATCACTGCACCTACCCTACCCTGCTCCCGGTTCCATAATGGCAGTCTTAGAAGTCCTGGGGGTGAGATTGCTGTGGTGCCCGAGGATTTTGTTATGGGCCCTGGAAAGTCTTGGAAAGAATGGAAGTGCACTTCATTCCTCCCATTCACAGACGTTCAAGTTTTATAGGATCATAGATTTAGAAGTAGAGGAGATCTCAGTGGTCATCCAGCCCAGTAACATAGTTCTCAAGGTGAGGAAACTGAGACTGAAAGGCTAAATGTCCTAGAATCCTAGAATCCTAGATTTAGAGCTGCAAGTAATCTCAGAAGCCATTACCTCCCACCTCTTCATAAGGATGAGGAAACTGAGGCCCAGAGAGGTTAAGTAACTTGCCCAAGGTCACACAGGTAGCAAATACCAGAAAAAGGATTTGAACTCAAGCCCTCTGACTTTTTTCACTATCCTACTGTGCCTTACCAACTGTACCACTTTCTCATGAATCAAGGAAATCCATAGCACCAGGAGACACCACTCAGTGAAGACAACCCTAGGAGTCTGCCCAGAGACTCAGTGCTCCAGTGCATCTCTTCCAGCTTTCCACATCCTGCAGACAAACCCATAAAGGGATGGAAGGGGAGCAGAGTAGGAGGGTTATGATCAGATCTTCATCCCTTAGCCTCGGTGCCCAGGGAGAATCCTGGTCAGAAGTATTGTTGTGCCTCCTTGAATCTTGGCAGGGGAGCCTTGCTATCTTTCTGTAAGTCCTCAGTGACCCTAAGTGGAGAGCCAGTATGGTGTTGGACCCGGAGTCAAGAGGCCTGAATTCAAATTCTGCTTCAGATACTTGAAAGCTGTGTCAGAGCCTCACTTATATCATTCTCATCTATAAAATTGGGATAATAACATTGGGAGCCACTTCTAAGGATCATGGTGAAGAAAATATTTTGCAAACCTTAAAAAAGTACTATATAAATGTAAGGTAAGGGCAAGTCACTTCACCCTGTTTGCCTCAGTTTCCTCATCTGTAAAATGAGGGAAAAAACCGCTCCAGTGTCTTTGCCAAGAAAACCCCAAATAGGGTCATGAAGAGTCAGACATGGCTGAGCAACAACATGATTACTAGTAATAATTCGAGTCTCGGACCAAGGTTCCCAGTTAGTGCCTTATAACATGGGACCTTTTGGTTTTCTTTCCTTAGAAGCTGCCAAACTCTTGTGGCCCCAAAATTTTGGGATTGGCTTTTTAGGTAGAGCCAAAGCGTGT